CCTTTGCTTGAAAATCAAGATGGCTGACTACGTAATACTGATGAAAAGTGGAATATCTAGAGAATGAAAAGTGATACTACAAAACTGTAAATTGCATTCTCCTACATTTGTGGAGCTTTTTCTTTAGGGGTCATTATGTTGTTTGGATTGAGGTTCCCTTTAAGTTCTTCACTGTTACACAGTTTTAGCCCAACATTTCAAAAAAACCTCGAAAACGATGTTTTCATAAAAGTACACACTCTCAAAATACACTACTAAAGTGTGCATATCATTATAAGACGAACGGATAACTCTAAAGATTTATTTTTTTCAATAAAAGCAGTAAAAATTCATTTCGGTTTCAGTACCGATAAATGACAACTCTAAGATTTTGAAAATACTCACAAACGTAGAGTTTAGGTGAAAAGAAGAGACTCATATGTAGCTAGAAAACACAGACGTACGTATGTACGTTTGTCTTTTATAGTGGCTTATATGGCTTTGGTTGGCTGGAGATCGCACTAGTTGGATGTTCTTCTATCCCGAGGCGGAGCTGCGTCACATAACGTTCTGGGTTGCTAAGTCGCGCACCACTGTACCATGTATTCTATGTGTGAGCTGATGTGGAACACCGTTCGAAGAGCCGGTGTATACAGCTGAAGTCGAAAAAACTCAATTATGAAACAATTCTGAACAATCAAATTTATATACGTTGAACACGTATGGAGTAATCTAGTTGCACTGTTCAGGAGAATTCAACAACTAGCACAAAGTACAGTTTTAGATTTTTTTTTTTTTCATTGGTTTTGGTTGCAAGGCGGTGAAAATGCCCGGATGTTCGCTCGTAAGATTTGTCTACCAAAGTCAAATTCTCGACGGTACATTATCAGGTTGTATTGGCTCGAAAAAAATAAAAATTATTACACAGATTTATTAAATCTCCACGAGAAATACATAATATATATATATATATATATATATATATATATATATATATATATATATATATATAAAATAGATTGGTTGGTAATTATTAAATTTCAAAACGTAATATATAAATATCAACGTATGGATATCTATTAATGTAATGATACATGTACTATTCTTCGATGTCGTGGGCATGCATATTCTGTTGCGTTACATTGTTCTGAGAAATTGACAACGGCGCCATTTACTATTAAACGACAAATAAATTTCATCTGAACGAAGTACGGCGCATAAATCATGCGGTGGAAATAATTAACCACTACCAGCGAGGGAAACCATAATTTCTTTATGACATCAGAATATGGATCGCGCAGATTATCGATGTAGCATTGCATGAATTGTCGTGTTCAAATACGTCACTGAATGAGGAGAGCTGCTTGCACGCTATCTAGACTAATAACCTTACGAGTCTGTGGTTTACGAGAACTGTGTATTGGGAATTATCGTACTAACCTGATTTTATTCATTAATAGAAATCGTAACAATAGATGACTGCAATCTGGAAAATAGCTTGGTACGATAAGTTTTGTAAAATGTCTCTGAGCGTCGACAGGTTCGCGTCATGTCATTATTCCGTGATAAATGAACCCAAGGCAAAAGTTGCATGTATATGAGATTATTTGTATTTGGTGTCCATCCAATTAACAATATAACTTATGATTTTTCAAACGCTGTTAATGATAAATAATTAAAGATGCAGTATGGGCAAATAATGCCGTATGATGAGTGATGCATGCTGATGAATATTATATTTGATAACACACAGCAAGTATTTTTTCGACGATTAAGGCTAAAGAATGTGACGGGTTTGTCATGAATTGTAAAATGAAAGCGGTGCGGTGAGCGCATTTTTTCATTATTGCGTTATTTTTGTAGATCACAGAAAACAAATCATGAGCGATCACTTTTGAATTGACACGCGCTGACCACAAATAAATAATTGGTTGGGGTCCTCATGAAAATAATAATATACATATGCGTCGATTATAATTGCACCCACCATTGAGTATTGCATGTTTTCTACTACCAAGCCAAACTCCGTTAATTCGGACTTCGCTTCCCCGTTGTATCTTGGCACATCCTGTTCAGCTATTGTGTTTTGAAGAACGCCCTCTTCGGAAAGTTAAAAAATCACACCGTTTGTTTTATTCCTATTGCCGTAAACTCTAATTGAACGCGGGTATCAAAGGCACGTCCAATCAGGCCTTTGTATTCTACACGGGTCAAGTATGCGTACTCCCGGTAGAATTACGCACGGTTTGTTTACATCAAGGTTGCGATTCGAACGATGTGCTAGTAAGAAACAACTAACTCATCAATATAATTGCGTTTAACCGTTGTTTTATTTAAAAAATGTTCTCTCAGTATCCATAGTAAATGGTATTTAAAATCAATTGACGGAAGTAACATTGACTAATTGTCGTGTACGATCTACGAATGGTATTAGTCGCCGATAAACAATGACCAAACCTATTAAAGTAAGTAAAAGAAAAACTGTCACACTTAGGAACGTCCACGTTGGTCCATATTTTGCATATAACTGACTAACTGTTACTGGACCCAGGGTTCGTGCCAAGCTTCCCGATGACGTTAGTAATCCCATATAGACTCCCTGTGAGATAACATAGAAAAAAACACGTGGTGTTAATACGTGACAGATTGTTAGATTACTATAACATCTCTCCAGTGTTCATTTTACCCATATGTCAAGTTGGGTAGACATATGTACAACAACGGACATTACAGCGTTCATGTTATATTGACGCGCTTCAAATGAAGTAATATACACGCATATATGAAATTGGTGGTGATTGCTTAATCAGCCACGACTTCATCCTATAACTTACATCTACCGCGATTTGCCTCGACACAGCTGTTTAATTCATACGTCAATGGTAGACCAATTTGTGCATAGAAAGAAAAGACGCAGAATGTATTTCGAAAATAGTATTTTTCAGAGCGAGATATGGTGTTGAGAACTCTTCACTTGATCAAAATTGACCACCATCAAATGTATATGGCATATTATTAAATGTGGAAATACCCCAAAATAGTTACGCGTTTGTTGAATCCTGCGCGATATGTTGACGCTGTTACGACACCATGGCCTTGGCAGTGAACGGAAAATGGTCTGTTGTTTAAGGTAAACAATTTCGAACTAATTAATACCAGTTGGCACTACAAATGGGCAATACCCATTTTTTCTATCCTAGGAAGGTAGAATGACACATATATACTATCGGAATGAATTCGGGGATAGACGAGTCAACCCCACATATCTACTGAATAAAAGTCGTATTCGGCAAATAGTCGTGATAATTAGTTTGTTCAAGTAGTTATGGTTATGTTTTGGTTGTGTTTGGTACATTAACGTATTTTCATACCTAAAAGTTGTTGCACATTTCTGAGTCTTGAGTCCACGAAAAAGTTTGCTTAGATTCAACTTTCGCAAAAATATTAATATTTATAAGCATTGACAAGAATACAAACACTAAGCGGAGGTATTATGGCGCAGTGTTAAATTAATTATGTGTGACGTCATATGAAATATGCAAGAGAGAAACAAAAACATTATTGAGTCACCTACTGTTAATCTCTGATTAAACCCGTCACCCACAACGCACCTGTGGAGATGGTCCTAATACTTTGGAGTAAATAGTAAAACTCATAACGGTTGATGCAGGATACCCGGATGCTAAAAAAAATGCTGACGTCAGATACTGTGGTAGGTATATCATATGAGTGTTGTCACACCACGTCACTGTCCATAAACAGCCGCGAGTGGGCGATGTTGCGTTATGAAGTATTGGCAAGGTGTCGTTTATGGTCGAGTTCAAAGCTGTGGAGACATGTAAATCACGCAGTGATCGATTAAAAAGTGATTGTGAATTAACCACGTAATTGTTTCTTGATGTTTTGAACTATGTCTTTCAATTATGGATAGTACAAGAGACGGAGTTATGCAGAAAAACTCGCACGGTTCCCAATCTTTGACGCTTGACCCCAAGGTCAGATTTTATCATCTGTCGCAAAATAAACCTGGATAAATGTTTCTATATATTTTTTCAAAAAAATTAATCAACACCTGACGTCATTAAGGAAAAAAACAGAGAAATGATAGAAAAATGCACAAAAAAGTCCAAAATTGTGTACACAAATTTCGTTGGAAGAAATATGGTGTTGAATTGGTAAAGAATACATGACCACTTTGCTATAATTGCTTACTTGTGTACGGCCTAGGAGGATACACAGATGTCCAAGGCCATGGTATGTCTAATAGGAATCCAATGAACATAAGGAGAACACCACCGAATAGTATTTTACGCTCATCGAATCTACAGAGATTAAATAAACATGATATCATATTAGTTTCCATGTTACTGTGCTTTTATTTCTAACACAGTGATTAAACCTTCTTACTAACAGCGATAGTTTAAGCGCGGCATTACCTTTTAGCTAATGGTTTGAGTAACATAAACATCGCCATGGCAACAACACTGCCAACGCCCAGAATGAGTCCAGTGTAAAACACTGCATGCTGTGAATCCCAAGCGTACATGTCCATCGACAAGGGTGTACCAATTCTACGAAAATTCAAAAAGAGAACAGCGACTCATTTATTTCGAACCAACATATAAACAGCAAGATAGACACACAAAAGCCGTGCAGGTCATTGGAGAGTATAGCTAGAACACAGCAAGGATGTTAACCTTGCACGAAGTAACATGGTTACACTCACACGACGTGGATACATAGCCAACATGTTACATTACACTCACACGAAGTCAGAACATAGAGACATGTTACATTGCACTCACACAACGTCAGAACATAACCAACAAGTTGCATTACAATCACACAGAGTCAGGGCATAGCCAACATGTTACATTACAATTACACGAAGTCAGAACATACCCAACATGTCACGTTGCACTCACATGAAATCAGAACATAGCCAGCATATTACATTGCAATCACACGAAACAAGAACATAACCAACATGTTACACTACAATCACATGGAGTTGGAACACACTGTAAAACATGTTGAAAAAGCGACATAATATTTTAGCGAATTGTGGATAAATGACGTAATAGCGATATGTTGATTTAGCGAATCTGTCTTGTTTTTGTTGATTTCCTGTTTTCACAATACTTGTCTGTCGCCTGCCAAAACAAATGCGCAGTTATCACCTCCATAAAAACAAAGAAAAACTGTCAAGTGTAATAAGGAAGCGCTCCAGATTATTGCGTTTTCTGTGTTGTTTACAAAGTATGTGTGTGGAGAAAAAGACGTTGTTTGGCTGTTTGTAATTTACATTACATTACAATCACACGAAATCGGAACATATCCAACATGTTACATTACAGTTAAAAGAAATCAGAACATAGCCAACATGATACATTGCAATCACACGAAGTCAGAACATATCCAACATGTTACAAAACAATTACACGAAGTCAGAACATAGCCAACATATTACATTACAACGACGTCGGAATATAGCCAACATGTTACGTTGCATACACACGAAGTCAGAACACAGCCAACATGTTACATTACAGTTACACAAAGTCAGAACACAGCCAACATATTACATAACAGTTACACGAAGTCAGAACACAACCAACATGTTACGTTACACTCATACGAAGTCAGAACACAGCCAACATATTACATAACAGTTACACGAAGTCAGAACACAGCCAACCATGTTACGTTACACTCATACGAAGTCAGAACACAACCAACATATTACATAACAGTTACACGAAGTCAGAACACAGCCAACATGTTACGTTACACTCATACGAAGTCGTCAGAACACAGCCAACATATTACATAACAGTTACACGAAGTCAGAACACAGCCAACATGTTACGTTACATTCATACGAAGTAAGAATACAGTCAACATATTACATAACAGTTACACGAAGTCAGAACACAGCCAGCATGTTACATTACAGTTACACGAAGTCAGAACACAGCCAACATGTTACATAACATAGCCACCATGTTACATTACATTCACACGACGTCAAAACATAGCCAACATGTTACGTTATACTCACAAGAAATCAAAACATAGCTAAAATGTCACACTTACGTTTCATTGAGAGAAAAGACAAATAAAATTATAAAGAATATGATATTACAAAATAGTACTGCTGTTTTATCAATAAATCCTTGGACGATGACGGTGGCATTTAAATCGTCGTTCTCTAACAAAACAAAAATGGAGAAACACAATTATTATTATCGAAATAAATAGTTTTATTCGCACAGCCATATTCATGCATACCTTTTTTGCTAATTAATGCATTATGTTAACAATCCGTTAAAGGAAAGAAAAATCTATATTATGCAAATAACCATTACCTGTCGTGGAAGTGGTCGTCGTTTTGCTTTGGTCTATGTCGGGTACATGGTGATGCCGGAATAAACCCAACACCAATACCAGATTTACTAAACCCAGTGCGGCACTCAGTAGTGCTGGTATTGTGTACATGTTTACGCGTAATTTGATGGCATCCCAGTCAACTCCACGTTCACCTACGGGGGCGAACGCCGTCTGGACCACTGTAAAAAAGGTATATTTTACAACAGATGCATCGTAGTACACCAAGAAAGGTCAATGTAAGCATAATATTGGTCGCAGCGAGTCATTAAGTGTAGCTTGGTCAATATCAGAAACGTCGGAGTGACAGTGAAATCGGATTAAAATACTTTAAAAACACGTTATGCGTTATAACGTTTGGAACAAATGCCTGAGTGAATAAAAAACAGCACAAATGTATTTTACGTGCAGCTCTGGGAGAGAGAACAAATGTGTAATGTGGCTGAATTGCTTAATGAGCGCGAAGCTTACACCCCCGTCACCACGCTATGTGTTCTTATCTACCTGGACCAAGAATGAATCCAAGAGCTTGAGCAGCACTGAGATTGGCCATAGCGGGCGTCCTTTCTTTCAATGTGGTGGATCCTGATGAGTAGGATCTGACTACGGCAATGTTTCCTGCAACATAAAGTGCATGCGATGCATATTGAGGCGACGAATATACCAATAGTGAAATAATGCAAGTTTCGTTATTCTTACATATTTCATGTTACAAGGAAATATTGGTCAAAGTATGTCCGGGAAATGGTTCAGGGAAATAAAACCAACATCATGGCCACTATTCGACCATTTTGCATCAAATCATAATCACAAACTCATGAATATCAGAGTGTGTGATGTTCATACCAAGTTTGAATGATTTCGACAGAGACATGCCTGAGAAATTTAGTTTATGTTTTGTCGGACAAAGGTAATGGAAATTAACGTGTATACCATTGTGTTTTGTAATTGTATTTAGTTTCAACAAAATGGGTCAAAGCGTTGCAAGCAAGTCAAAGCAAGTTCGAATGAAATCAGCACTAGTATGCCTGAAAACAGATGATGTGCTCAATGTCGTGGTTTTATTTTTTTCAGAACCAAAAATCGGTCGCCAGTCGGTCAAAGGTCAGCTAAACGAAAAACAAATCGATGTGCATATGTATCCCATCTTTGTAACAACTTTGAACAAATTCGATTCAGGCATATATCTTCGTTCGGTTCGGATTTCGTCCGATAGGGAGAAAACGTCTTACAGTGTGCTTGTACATGTATACAAGTATTACAAATGAACATTATTTGAATGTTTTTAATGAAGAAATGTCTTTTATTGTGGTCTGTAGAAACCACTGTTAGTTTGTTTTTCAAAAAATTGGGGTGACTGACAGTGCATTAACAAATTTACTGTAATATGCGCATATGTCATAAACACAAGAGTAGCATTCGATTTTATTTTTGAAGAATTCAAATTAAAATGCTGACAATAAACCAATGGCAAACAGAACAATGTCAGTAACTATTACACTACTCCAGTAACTTGTACAATGCACCAATAGCTAGTACATTGAACCAGTAATTAGTTCACCTAGAATGGTAACTAGTACACTATACCAGTAACTAGTACACTACATCAGTAACTAGTACACTACGCCAATAACTGGTATGCTACACCAGTAACTAGTACACTATACCAGTAACTAGTTCACTTACAACGGTAACTTGTACGATACACCAATATCTGGTATACTACACCAGTAACTAGTACACTACACTAGTAACTAGTTCACTTACAACGGTAACTAGTATAATACACCAGCAATTAGTACACTACACAAGTGAATATTACACTACACTATTTATTAATACATTGCACGAGTATCCAAATGTATTGCACCAATAATGTGTACATTACATCAGCCCCATAACAAATACACTACACCAGTAACTAGTACACTACACTAGTAATTTATACACTGCACCGGTAACCAACGTGCTACAACAGTAACTAGTACCCTGCACCAGTAAACAGTACACTACACACAAGTAACTAGTACATTATACCAGTAACTAGTACATTACTCCAGTAACTAGTACATTACACCAGTAACTAGTACATTACGCTACTATCACACTACACTGGGTAAATGAATATTATATAAGAATATATGATATATTGAAGTCAAATTAAAGCAACCCTAATCCTAATTTTGGACTATTAATATTCCAATTTGCATTTACTTGGATTTTCCTTTAATGGATTAGATATTCATTGAAAGTGTGCAATACAGTATATATATATATATTACCTGCACTTACACCAACCCCAATTCTAGCAATCAACATAATGGTGCCACTGTTGCTTGCAAACGAACCAGCGAAGGCATAGAGTATATTAGCCGCTATGCCGACTACAAGAGATATCGACAATGGCACCTTGGTTGGCAAATAATTGCTACACAGTCCAAATATTGGAGATGCGACGAACTGTCCGAGACTGTAAGCGGCTACTAACCACCCTAAAAATGTAGTATCAGCATTCCTTTCTACCTGTGAAGTAAACAGAATATACCTTGGACACAGGAATAAAATAAATCTTAAAAAAGAAATCTGCTATACCAAACCTGATCTGTTTCTGTATCTGTGTGTTTTACTCCAATATCCTCTACTGCATTATCGATAATTCGGTAAACGTGAATGGATGACATGGTCATCAATAACGTACTTGAATATACTGAATGTAATCAGTAATTAATATACATCATTAATTAAACACAAGCTTATATCAAAAACTATAAAGAAGAGGGACAGGCAACTCGGTCTTTTCTTTGATGTAAAGTATCTTGGAAAAGAATTATTCTAATTAATTTTGACGTAACTGTCCTACTTCCTGTCTGAAATAAACTAAAATAAACCACAGTCCCTCTATATTGTGAATAAACTAGCGATAAATTGACGTTCGCTACTAAGTATCGGGCCAAAGCCACACGATTCTCGATATGCTCTATAGTTTTTGCTTATATCCAGGGGAAGCAGCAATTAGTAATTGGATGTAATGTCTGATTCAGTTGTCAGTGCCAAAAAATGGAATCGTTTCTCTCTTCTGTATGGTTGCGTGGATGCTTCGTCAAAATAATAAGTAATGCTAAGGGTGCGAGTCAGTGGTTCTCAAATTGGGAACACTGTAACTGTGAGGAAACACTGCAACTGTGAAATAATTAGACATGCAAAACAAGTTGTTGGCTTTCTGTGCAATATTAGTGGAATGTGTTGCAGCGTTGTGTTCTGATGTACGGTACTAGAGAGCAATACAATGCATCAACCCGGAGCGGCACGGGTGGGGCGGGATATGTGGCGTAAGTATATAAAAAATATAGTTATAACTATCTGTTATTATCCACTTGCAGTTACATGTATGATATACAATGTATCACTTCAAATAAACGTCAATTAACAGCTCGCAGTTGCCGTCGTGATCGGTCTGACGAGACACTTACCGACTTGAAGTATGGCCATATAGAAGTTACAACGAGTGAGAATCCAATACTGGCGACAAACATCGTCAGGTACATTATTCGTATTGACAACCATCGGCTCCGATATTCCCTCGTTGTCTCCGCGGACGAGCTACAAGATGTAAGATGTAAGATGGCAATTATTTTTTCTCTAAATTCTCGTTCATTTTTACAGCTTTCTTCATTGTACTTTTCAAGTCAACATCCTAATACAGTTATACAACTCAACCTATTGAGAATTGAGTGTTGACAAAACAACAACAACACTATAGATTGAAAATAAAGCAATTAAACATTTGGAAATTAAATTTTGAATAAAATCGTCTATTGCAATACGGCGTCCACACGTAATCCACACGTATGATTATGTATACCGCAACGTAGGGGGCGCTATTGCGACAGTATGATTCACTCGAACTGGGTTCAAAATTCAAAGCTGGAAAGGTCACATTTCCGGCAGTTGAGCTAAATAATAAAAAACAACGTTTGACAGATTACTAATGCTTTGAAGGGTGAACTGACTTTATGTGTTTAAAATATATTTTTATTGAGTGTGTATTTAAAAAAATTTCTAGGGAAATAGAATACGGTTCGTGTAAAACAGCGATCGGTATAACAATACCTTGTACGGGAAAATATCATCTATACAGATTCGAGACTCAAATGAGGAAGTGTGGGTTGGATTGAGTGAACGCAACATATTTCGCCCAAGACCTCGATATAGTTCTCATCCTGTATGGTAACATGAGGTTTGCTTGACAAGTCGGCGTCTTCTGGAGACCCGGATGCAACCGCGCTCCACTATTTTTTCCAGTGATTTATTCACGTACAACGTCGGTATATAGCATATAAGCTATGCGTTCAGTGTCCACATTTCGACGATGGCCGTTACAAATCTGACACAAATGAACCATGAAATGTTTTATTAAAAATAAAAAAAATCAGAAAAAAACGAACGATAGTTAGTTAGTCGTAACTTCAACGATCTCATCGTCATTACCAAACAAAGAGTCACGTAGTCGTATTCATTTGGAACAATACGTGATTGCATAATGAATCGATTGTTGGATTGAAGCTCAGACTAGTAATACATTGTATTACTAGTCTGAGATTGAAGTAAGCGATAACGAGTAAATCAGAACAAGTGACTTGCAAACGAAGCAGAATCAAGACACCACATGGGAACGTAAATTACGACCTTCTGCACATCAGACTCCTAAACTTAGTATCTGATTCGACCATGTCTTGCATGGAATCATACCCCGGCCCCCTACTCAGGATCCATAGGGGGCCGCATGCGCGTTCCCATTTTCTCGGAAAGAGGGTACTTTTTGACGATCTGTCTCGGGAACATTTTCCCCGAGAAAATCGTAGAAAAGGGGGTATTTTTTGCTTGTTTTCCCGAGATTCTCAAAATAGGGGGTGTATTTCAAAACACTTCCCGAGATATACAAAAAAGGGGGTTTAAAAGGAGTTCTAGACTGAAAAGTTCCCTAGATAGGGGGTGAAATTCATCGGAAAAGCCCGTGAAAGGGGGGGTTAAATTTTCTTCTTTTCCCTAGATAGGGGGGTCAAAAAAAATGAGGGAACAAGCATAGGCCCCCCTAAATATAGGGAGGGGGCGGGAATCATACCCGATAAGACTCCCTTGTCACTCAGGCTCAATAAGCCAAGTGAGTCAACGACGCCCGGCACTCCAAAAAGTACATACCGGTACCCCGCCATGGCACGGAGAAAATCACGACATGCCCGAGAAGCCTCGTATACATCCATTATCTGAGCATATACTAGTACCCGAAAAAAAAAAGAAGAAAAAACAGAACTGACTTCCGTTACGGATGAGGATCCAGAAAATACCGAGGCTTGCCGGTGATTTTTTTATAGAAATTTATGCAGCCTTAATATACCGAAAATATCCGATATATCGAGTGTTTTGCATGCAGCCAAGACTCAAGTCAAGAATATGAATATTAATATAATATGGTAATATGTAACAAACATTCATGCCAGGAATTATAATGAGGGAATTACTATTCAAATTGTTGATTACATGTACTTCGATTCCCCTGTTTTTTTTTCTTTTGCTAAAATGTGAATATTGTCAATGACAAATAAATGAAATAGGGTCATACGCAATGCATTGATGATATCACTCGATACATGCAGTAAAACAAATTACGTATGTCTGTTTCAATTCTTACAATGTAATTAATTCAATCAAACAACAAAGGGGCTATTCAGATGTTAACAATGGATGTTTTGATGTTGTCACGGCAAGTTTTCAAACGGTCGTTAGCTATCCACAACGTGACGCCGCTGTGAAGTAAGATATGGGTCTGGTACAAGTGAAGGCACTCCAATTCGACGTAAGTTATAAGTTTTGTAGTCACCACTAACACGGATACGAATCTGCTGCTGCGTAGACAAGTCAGATACCAGTACAATGGGATAGTGAATGGGACTAGGATACTAGTACATGGGCAGATAACTCATTGATTTGCTTTGACCATTTTCTGTGGGAATGGCCGGCATCACCTCCACATTATATGTAGCGACTCGTAGTTTCCAAAATATGCCCTATAATGGTTATCCGAGTTCATGATGGCAGATCGTATGAATTCTACGAAAGACTTGAAAAGTATAATTGGCATCGCGTGCAGAATACAGCGCATTGTTACCGAGTTGTTGACTGCAGTCCATTTATAGCTTCATAGAAAGTACAGTAAAGCGATGTAACGATTTTTCGAGTCCGAGAAAACAGCAAAATATTGCAGCCACGAATATTTTACCGCCAGGATCCTTAAAGCAGAAAGTCACGGTGACTGCTCGCCGATATATTCAAATTATCATGATAACGCACATATCTGTAGCGTCGAAAATGCTAACGGTTTACAGATTACAATATAGCGTACACTATCTACATCCGGGCTCTCATACAAGGATATGATTCAATACTGTACACATGTCATGATTTAATACCGACCACACTCTCTACATTATCTTCATTTATCTACATTACATACACCCATCTTTCTCGTCGTATAAAACACATTACTGTTGATATAGGAATCCGAAATTGAACAGTCGAATAACGAACATGTTTTGTTGCTTCACAGATACCAAAAACAATGAACATATGACGTCACCGTCCTCCAAACAATTGATGACTACTGTAACGAGATTGGATTTACGGACACGATTTGCTTACACATTTACATTTGATTGATTTATGGAACAACATGAGTTCGCAGGAGGAAGAATTCCGACCGGTGTGGATTACTGTGGTAGAAGCCAGCATTCTAATGCTAATAATAGTGGTTGGCCTCTCTGCCAATGTTCTACTTTTGGCTACCGTGTTACGCAATCGCCGTCTTCAAACAATAGCTAATATATTCATCGTTAATTTAAGCATAGCTGACACCTGTCTTCTGACGTCTTGTATCCTTACTTTGTCCTGCGTCGTCTGTAATCGGTGGATATTCGGAGAACTATTTTGTCAGATTTACGCTGGAATTATTCAACACTTTCTAGTGGCTGACACATACAGTCTTGTTGCTATAGCAGTCAGTCGATATTTCTTGATATGCAGAGAAGTTAAATTCCATTCGTTATATACATCAAGAAACGCTATTTTGATTTCCTTGTCACCATGGTTACTCGCGTTCATTATTAGTCTGCCGCCGGTTTTGGGTTGGGGGAAATTCGCGTACGAACCTAAACTGTACACATGCATGATAGACCGCACATCGAGCACTTCGTACGCTATATTTGCCGCCTGTGTGTTGTTTATAATTCCGATCACCGTTATCTCGTTTTGCTACTATAGGATTTTCAAAACTGTCAGGGCAAGCACTCGGGCCATTGCGCCAAGTATACTTAACTCTTCGCACGTCTGCGAAGCTCGTCAAAAGAACGATATAACTCTAACAAAGAACATTTTTCTGATAATCTGCATCTTTTTCGTCGTTACTTTGCCATTCTCATTGGTGTTAGCAATCGATGTACAAAACACGTTTCCAAGGCATGCCCATCTTATCCCAAGTAATCTAATGCTGTCAAACAGCGCCATCAACCCATTTTTGTTCGGTAGACAATTCCGCGAAGCTTACATGGACAGCTTAATGGTGCTGCGTGGAAAGATTTCTCTCATTTTTGAGGGTTGCTCATATAGCAAAAATGGCACAATTGTAAGAATAAGCACGTTGTCTGCAAACGAGTCTACACTACGAGTAAGCACAACAAAAATGGTGTAACGTCGGTCACTCAGCAAGCGTAAAAATTATACTTCAAAAACACACAGTCATTTTCAAGGACAATTTTGTACGCACTACTGTTACCTATTGGTGGAAAGAACGCGCCAAATGTCCAGTGTGTAGTAAGACTTTCTCAGAGTTTCCTCACCCATAACTCCAATTCTAACGCTGTCCCTTTAGTTACTCCTCATTCATTTTTTGGGCGATTAGTTACAATCTTAGGATGACACATTCAGTACTATTTTTGAATCGTTGTTGTGATGTCCGCAGTCCACACCTGACTATAGTACATTTGGCTGCACGTTTTATTCGAGCACGTGCTAAGACCGCGTCTGTTTAACCATTAGGCCAGACTTTTTTTTATTCCTTGTTTCTCTAGTTTTTATAAGTCAGTTTTTTTGAGGAGGGTGGGAAAAAATAAAATTAATTCATTTTTTCCATTAGATTTGTGTGATTCTCAAAGAATTGTGAGTGAGATCATTGATCGGAGAAAAGAAATGAAATAAAATTTTATTCCATGTATAACCTGGTTGGCAATGTCGCAAATTGTGGCACATTTTGCAGCATTAATGAAGGATTTCTCGGTTTTTGACGACAGAGTTTCATGGCCTAATAGTCTCAAGCAGCACGAAAAGAGATTCCATGTCAACCAATGCACATAAAGTATAGATCTAAGCGAGACTTTGGTACTTTGATCATGATACTCCCATAAAAATGCAACTTGGATTTGTTATGCGGCGGGCGGAAAAATATGAAGATAAAAACATTTTTTTAGTAATTGTTTGCACTTACAAGTTGGCGGGTGCGAGAAATTACGCTGAAATAAACTTTGATTTTTATTTCTATTTCGGTTCCTGTTCATTCGGCGGGTTCGCGAAACAAGGAATAATAACAGTCTGGCCTTACACCAAATTGTAGGGTCTATGATTCAAGACTAATATTAGTTAAATTTTTTGTATTTTATTTATTTCAAAGATAATGAGAATTACATTTTATGAAATTGTTATGGTATATATTGATTAAAATGGCATAGTTTGAGAACTGGATTCCTTAACTTTACTCTAGCGTTTCACTAACTATTCACCCTACTTTCGGTGAGTAACCTTGCCCTAGCACATTTCAGACCCGTATCTTATCTGTGGAGCTGTATCCATGATGACCTTTGCACTGAACTCAGAATCACACAGGTTGGCTGTATCATACATTGTTATACATGTATTAATAACATGCGTACACGGACGTCAACAGAAAACAACTGAATATAAGCAGTACCTTGCGTAAAATTAAAAAAACGGAGAAGCATAAGCACATACCTGTCACGTCGAGAATTACCCAGCAACAAAGTGTCTTCAGTAGCGTTATTTTCTCCCATGGCCATGGTTCGATTCAATTTGCCCAATGATGACGGTAAAAATATATCATGTATCGCAAACTCGATTCGCAGAAATGACAACTCGGGCGATATCTCGTAAAAATTATTTAGAATAAATTATTATATAGATATAAAAGTCCTGATTGACAACTGATTTGAAGTGGTGCCACTGGTGGTCCAAGCAATGGGTTCCAATTAGAGGAATCATCGTACTATCTAGTAATAGTAGTAACACGGGTTATTTGATCATATTTATTTAGAAAGAGCGCCCTCGTGCGTTGCCCTACATAAGGTATAATACAAGTTTGTTCTCAAACGTTATCCCCAAAAGTATCTTAATTTGATCCTGCTTTAAATATGTACATTAATCACAGTGAATGTTACAGTTGAATGTTTTTTTATCCGAATGGTTTTGACGCAGCCGCACTACAAATTCTCACTACCTAGGGGAGTTCCTGTTATGCAACAACATGGCCGACTCTGACGTTGATGAGTGCGATGGAGCTGGAACTAAAACGAAATTTCAGGTATAGGTGCAAAGTGAATGTTTACCTTCGTGTTCACATGAACATAGTAAAATTATGTATTCCAACAAACTGGTTACAACTCCGGTGACCCGGAAGTTGAGCAAGACAACTAAATTTGATTTCATTAATATTTACAACAACCGGCGAACCGTTCTGAGGCAAAACAAGCTCTGAGTACAGTCCTGTAGGTTGGCCTCCTTCCGCTGATCATTCGGCCCCCACAGTCCTGAGAAGTCGCATAGACAGAGGATTCGACACTATTGTGGAGAAATGTATCGGGCGATTTAAGAGGCATTCAGCTTTGCAGTTAAAAATGAAGCAGGTCGATGGGTCCAACTATTCTATGCGCAGAGCTCCAGAAGGAGTACCTACACTTTATGCAAATTTTTTTAAAATTATGCTAATTTATTCATGACGTAGCAGTTTCTGTGCTCATGAATATTCATTAATTTGTGGTCATACATTTTAAAAGGGGCGATATATTATTTTGGGGGAGAGTAGAAGGGGATTAGCAATCCTTAGGGGTCAATACAAAATAAGGGACCCATTTGGAGAGCAGCCATGCTCCTCGTGTCTGTTGTTGCACGTGACCTACAGCTGTCAACTGTGTTCGTTCTTCGAGGACTTCGACTGGCTTCCATGTGGGGTAGTATTCTTGTGTTCTGTTTGACTTGAGTTTTTGAATCCGCTGTTTATGTTTTTAACGTCTTTCATGTCTTTTGTAGGAGTGTCCAATCCGTGATTCGAACTTGCGATCTTTGAGTTCCCAGCGCACTGTCTTGTCCTCTGTACCACGAGTGTCTTCACACAGGAGTTAGGATTTAAGTCCTATTCATAGGAGCACTGTCTTCACTAGCATTCAAAAATCTAAACATACTGGATTCGAACCAGCGATCGCTCACATTGCTGACATAGTACAAATCAACTGAGCTATGTGGGTAGTCATGCAAATTAAATAATTTGTTGTCATATTTAGCTTTATTGCCAAATGGCGTTGCGAGAAAAAGATGGGCAGCAAAGGGAATTGAACCCAGGTCCTCCTGATCACTATGCAGAGAACTGACCCACAAGACCACATTGGATTGACTGGATGTGTTTGCATTTGATAGACTATATAGTGTGTATATATATA